CCTCCCAATCCTTCTACGAATTTCCCGGATCACAATGTGATGGGTCATTGGATATAGTCCATACTGGAGAGGAAAGTTTGCGCTTCATAACGCGCCACCGTTGTTACTCCTGAGAAATCATTGAAAAAGTCCGGGCTAGTGTTTTTCAAGAAACTCTACGCGCCACCGTCGATGAGTAGCCAAAGCGTCTTCAAGCTATAATTATTATAGTACAGGAGAAGGTTGTATAGGATGACCCTGTGTTTATTTCGTAGATGAGAAAGTTAAGCATAGTAATTAGTTCACATAAATTCACTATGTATCAATAGGAAGTGCTGTTTCTGTAGCCATATTATTCTGTTACCATATTTATGGCGCACCTTGTATATAATATATATTTACATGTATATATATACATACATATATACATATATATATGCTGTAGCTCTCGAAAATCTTCGCCAAACGCTTTCGCCCTTTTTCAGGTGTAACTTTTTTCTTAGTGGAGAAATTCGCACGAAATTTCATATGTTTAACTGAAGCATATTCCATACTATCCAACACTATTTAACTGCGAAGCAGCAATATCCACATAACTAAGACCAAGGTTCTTTTTGAGGTAGTAGGCTTCGCTAAAAACAAAACTAGTGACGCCTGCAGTTAGTTATTCGCAGCTTATGTGCAGCTTTCTCCCTGACTCTTAGCGCTCGTGGATTTTAGGCTTGGCAAGAAGGAAAGAAATTCCAGGAGGACCATCATCCGCACTCCCAGTTGACTTCGAACTCAGGCTCTAGAGGATATCTGGAACATGATTAGATTGCAGGTCAATAGCGGTAAATACTGCACGGCACACAGCACAGGGAGAAAATGATCCGGAGTAGGCGCCGCAGTGACGGCGCCCGGGGCCGGAAACCCAGCAAAGACCAATTGTCAGTTGGTCAAACATTTTGCCCAAGGAAGACAACACTCTTCGTCTGAAGTGATCAAGTACTATTACATTGCACTTATTTTGACGAATTGAACGGTACAAATAGCAGCCGTAAAATTTTGTTTGGAAAAAAGTTCGAGGATCGCTGCTCTACTTATGTACTTATCGTGGCCTGTTCAGAACCACGAAACAGAGGAAGTATTATCTTGGATCAAGCCCGTCACCAAAATTCTGACTAGCACTAACTATAGGCCGAGTTTCAAAATCAAACTTTTCCGAAGTTCCAAATACTATTATACAAGTAATTTTATAAAACATGAAGTGTGGAGCTCAATGAAGCACTCCACTTCCACAGAAACTCTATTCCAAACCGAATGGCAACGAAGAAGAAAAAAACAAAAAAACAGGTGCGATTTTTTGGATGAGTTTTACTTTTCTAGTGGTGGGTGCGATAGGGTACTCCACTACCTTTAGAATCCACCCTAAGCACGTGTAGTACAAAATAAGATACCCTGCAGTAATGGCACGTGTATGGTACGAGCGAGTGTCAATCCCCCACTTCATGGCGGCCCATGAATCTAGTAGTAGAATCCACTTGGCACTTCCACACCTTTGCCTTTACATCTTTTCTAGCGAAGCGCTTGTTTTTACAAATGAATAAAATGCACTACTGAAAATGAAGGTCCAACACTTTATTTTGGTATTCCACACGGGAGCAATCAGCAGAGTGTCCCCTAGGAACCGTTTCTAGATCGTCCTTCCAGCTTTCGTTCAAGTTTCGTTCCTTGATGCGCGCGACTTCGCGGTTATCTCTCAAACCGTGTGTTTATCTTGTTCCAATCCGTTCTCGTCCGACACATTTGTCGCTCTTCAAGGCGGTCTGCGAGTGTCTTGTTCACATATTAGTGCAAAAAAGGAACGATTCACAGTTTGAAAAGTGATTTTCCCACGACAGCAAGAAATCGTAAAAAGTGCTGAAGACTGCGCTCGAATATCTCTCAATCGGCGTTATCGTCGGCAATCAGACCAAGAAGTCGCAATTGTTGAGACCTGTGTGGTGGCGGCTTGACGAGAGGGCAGCGAATGCCCATGGCAAAGGGGAGTACTATCATCACGGCTGGCCTCGCCCGAGGAACTCGGCGACGAGGTGTGATCAGCCACGGATACGATCTCATTGACCGCTGCGATAACCCATGTTGTCAGCGGCTCGCCCTTTGCTAGTGAGTCGCTCCAACCGCACCTATAATTATCACGTCATCTATCATGTCCTAATCAGATGAGTGAGCGGCCGGCTCCTCGCCTCCATTGAGCGCGATACGGCTGGCCAGCGTTCGAGTTGCGGCGCTTCGCCATTTCTGCTTTTCGCTCATTTTGCAGCGCCCTGCCTGACGTTTAATTGATAGTTGTGAAGAGGTGCGAAATCGGGCCACCACGAGTGCAAAAACAATCATAAACGATTCGAAACTGCCGATTATTTATTACCGCACGACGTACGGAAAACGTGACTAGATAGATGCATTAACCTGAGTCTGGGAAATCTTTCGAGAACTACAATACTGAGCTGTTAAACCCATTTTTATCAAATGTAGTAGGCTGCTACAGACAATACACTTATTTCTTTTGCAGAATAATTATGAAATATTACTCCACTTCCAGCACTTCTCATCAGCTTTCCATGGAATGAACTATCTTGAACCATCTACTCTCAATTGCTTACGCAGCCTTCTTCTGAGCACGCAAAGCAAGTCATCAGGAGCTGGTAAAGAAGTACTTCTAGAGAAGACTAGCATTTCGCTGGCTGGCAGTTTGTTCTGTTGCTCTTGGAAAATTGCCTTTAGTTTCCGAGCAACTTTTCTCGTATACCTGCGGTGTCATCAATTCAGCGATGGCAAAAAATGCTGGCAAGGCAAATAGGAAGGTCCGGTGCTTGTTCACCGGAATGAATTATTGTCCTTGTGCGCGAAGGATTAGAGTCATTCAATTTCATAAACCGACCGGAGACCCTCCAAAAGTATACAATACATATGTACAGCTTAAATTGATTCCAAATAATGTATATGTATATTTATTACATCAGCAATCTCATGTAATAGAAAAAAAGAAAAAAGTAAACAACTTCCACGACAATATGGTCCCGAGTTCAAATGCAACATAACAATGACTGTCAGCGTGGGGCAGGCTGTTATAGAAGTATGTAGTGGAAGAATGATATTTAAAAAACGGCAACTGAAGGATACAACTAATAGGAACATACATACGTAAAATTAGAGTCATAACCTATGTCCTAAGAAGTCATTCGGCCTAGGTTTTCATCAAGATACTTCTTGAAGGCCTCGAAGCTAACAGGAACGCTTTCCTTTCTGCTCATCTTGAGATACTGTGCGTAGAATATAGTGCCATCTTTGAGAGTTTGTATGCTTCAAAAGGCTCTACGGTCTATAAGTGAAGCTTTCAAGGAAACAATTCCTGGGTTTTTACGGATAGTAAAATCAAATTGACTACTTTCTTAGTCGCTCGTCATAAAGGGACAATCAGTTGAGTCTGTGGGTTGATCAAAACCGTTTCTAAGGTCGGTCCCTGCACACGGCTTCAATTCATAATCGTTGTAGGGTTTTGCATGTTTGTATTTTCTAAACATTGACTCGATGGTCAGCTGATGTACTGTGCTCCCATACTTTCCAGACCACTTTAGTACCAATTAAACACCACGCAGGGTGGAATGTGGAAGTTAGTTGGCTGTGTGGATCGAGCTGAGATTCCTTCCCTGAGCCATGCATGTATAATGCCAATTGGCGAAAGTCCATCTCCACCCACTCGTTTTCCACAGAGCTTCTTGAGAATTGAACCTTCGTGTATGAAAGGATGAGAATTGTACTAGCGAAAAGATTGATATGTACAACGACGGCTTTTGTGAGATTCTTCACAAATTCGTTATCGTCATCCTAAGCAATGTCGGGCTGAGCATCTATTCCTTATATAACTGTAACCCCACCAGCATGCGCTACTCTCCATAGCTTGTCCTTTCCCTTCGGAAAGTGACGGAGAAAGCGTCTTATTCTGGGATTGTTATTTGATGAAACTTTGCAGATTTCGCTCGTTGCGACTTCTTCCTGTCAAGTAGTCACTTCTCCTCCTCCTGATTGTCCCTCGCTTACCCTCCTCGACAGTAACGGGGTGCACACGCGCAGACTGCCCCGCAGTTTCTTGCGTTACCGTACTTTTACGATTCCGCTAAAATGGTGACGTTGCTTTTTACGAGCATCGAATGATGCCTTGATTTGCACTATGTATTCGCGTCCAATGGGTCGTAAGTTAGCGGCAGCAAAACGTAGTCGAAATAGTCGGCTGAGAGAAGGAGACGCAGAGACGACAATGAGGTGGTGCTGAAGGGTGGCACACGAGTGGTGTGACCATACGATCGTTCACAAACTCGCCAGTTTACGAATGGCTACACTGGAATGCATTTCTTTTTTATTAGACTGCACCCATGCGAGATCCCCGTGAGTTTGACGGAGCAAATAAGTAATTGGACTTTATCATCGTCGTGGCAACTCCCGCAAGACCACTCGTAAATTTGTCAGGTAATGATGAGGTAATAAAGATGTGGGCATAGGTAGGACGCGCGCGCGAGAAGGAAGGCGATTCGATGAGCGATAAGCGTCAAGGACACTTGCACCATTTGTCAAAATTCAGACGTTGTATATCTCAAGTTCGGCCGACGAAGACCCCCCTCGGCGACTGAGAAGGCTGCGGCTGACCGCTCCATCTACGCCACTTCGCGCGCGTGTCACATATTGCCCTGACAAGGTGTGTACGACTTTGACCGGCCACAGAAGCGAAGAAAAAAGCTGATGTGATAAGATTTATTAACAGACCGACGAATACATAACAACCAGTGATGACCGCGAAAGGCACCGCGACCTACTTAGTTAATACCAGTATATGTGAGAGGCAAGAAAACAAAGAATCGCACTTGCATTGAACTTCAGGCAAAATGTTGCGCTTGCTCCAAGAGTATCGCGTTGGCGCAAATATTTACTTCTCGATCAGTAGAGCTCGACCAATAACAAAAACTATATACATACTTTCATTCCTACGACAGTTCAGTAGATGAGAACGTGGGAAAGAGTAGCGGAGCTGTGGACATGAAGAGCGGTAACGACGGAGCCATCGGGAACAGCGGTTGCTGAAAGGACTGGAATAATAGATGAAGACATGTGCTGCATGAGTCACTAGTACCGTAGTCTGCGTCGACGGAATGATAGTTGGAAAAATGCTGGGATACATTGGGAGATGTTTTCTACAGCGAGCACGGCGATTGGAAAACCAAGTCTGAAAATGCAGCATGAAAAAAAAGAAAGAGAAGGAGCCACGGAGTAGCTCACCATAATCTTCTCCTCAGTCAGACCAGTTTGTTTAGCAATCTGTTCTCGTTCGACTGCGTCTGGATAGGTGTTCATTTTGAACGCATTTTCGAGCGTCTCCAATTGTTCGGCAGTGAATGAGGTGCGATTTCGACGAGATTCGGACGGTGAAAGGGAGTCGTCGTCCGATGAGGAGCACTTGCTGTCAGAATCTGTGAAGGGGTCAGGATTAGCACAAAGCGGCAACGATGAAAGGTTCAGGATTTACGGGGGACGACGACTTTCGCTATCAGTTGATGTTACCCGGCGAGCGGCTCTCTCATTACCTAATCACGTTCGGCGAGGTGAGAAAAAATGCGTCTGATCTGTGTTTGATGATAGAGACCCGAGAAGAACCACTATACCTTCGCAGAAAACCGTCGGGTTTCTCAAATAATTGCAATGACTTTGAAAAACCTGAGTAATAAAGGGCAAAAGATGCTATTAAACTTTGAAATGGTGAGAGGTATTCATCGTTGTTTTTCATTGGCGGGGATGCGAACCGGCTTTTCAATTCCTTCGAATAGAACATATCGTTCCTGATTCTCATTAAGGATATTCCCTTTTTTTCAGTTCGCATGAAGCAAGTTTCTGCGGTCCAAAGACGAAAGAAACCAAGAAGAAGGTATAATCGATTAAACTATACTATCCCTACTGTACGCGGTGATTTCATCTACCTTTATTGACTTACAACCGACGTAAGTGTGTTGACGCCTAACAGTTCATCGGCAATGATCATAAAATCGCCCAGCTACCGTAAGACAGGGCCTTTTTACCCCAATTACTTCCAAGATTGGACAAAGTTATGACAACGAAGGGGTGTTTAGAAAAGATTGCAGTCGTTACAGTGTGTGAAGCTGAAAGTGTGCATCATCTGATCACATTTACAATAAATTATGCCTCACTTCGATTAATATCAGCATCAACAGGACGCGACGCCAAACAAGCCCTTTCCCGGGAGTCCTGAGTGGCAGGGAAGTCGGGACCGACCGGTTGTTGAGTCATTATTGTATCTATCACCTACATCGCTTTTTTTGGCGGATTGATGTCCATGTAACCATCCCAGGGGTCGCAGATTCAACTTTCAACTATTGTTACCATATTGGCCTGGTCTCACATAGATCTAGTGGGTGAAATTCCACATATGTCAGCGATTTGTTGGGTAGGCCGGAGCCCCTCAGAAGGATCCACACTTCTTTAAGGTCAGTTGATACACGGAATCTCACACCTCCACTACCTTACACTTCAGAAAACCAATAAAAATCTTTTGCCTTCCCTCTTCCTTTTTACCTCACTCATTGATCCAATTACCTTTCGACTACATACTCCCAAAGGACCCCCAGTAGTTTTTCACCACTTGCATCGGACATCCGGCTATCTTAGCGTACCCACTTGTGACAATTCGCTCATAATAGGATTACATCAAACGCACCACTGATGGCACACGTCGGACGACTCTTTTGTCGAGGATTACTACTGCTCAGGGGGTTATTCCCGGCTGAGCTAATCGTGACCATTGACCAACTGTTCTCCCACCAATCAGATTGAGGAAACTTCCGCACTGACTAGTGTCAAATATTCACGTAGATACTAATCAGCCATTAAACCGAATTTATTGCGGTCGACCTCACTGGAGGATTGCCCGGCTGACAATCTGAGACTTTTCTCAATCATCGAACCAACTAGTTGATTTTGTGCTTACTCTCGTTCTCATGACAGTTCGAAAATATTTGTGAAATGTGTGAAATGTGCCCATAGAAACAATCGAGTCCAATCAACGCTGCCGTTAACCTCAGCAAGTAGTTACAGTAGTCAGAAAGAGGAAATACGAGCAGCGGGGAAAAAAACGAGGCCGAGCGCGATTACGGCGTGAAATTAGATTGTGAAAAACTAGACGAACTGAAATGAAACGTGTGAAAAGCAAATAGATCGGGGGAACAGCGCGTTACATACCCATTGAGATGCCGAGAATACTGTCGATACTGTGATTGAGCCGCTTCTTTTCAGGCTTCTTCTCTCGATGCCATCCCTTGCCCCGTATGAATCGGTTGATCGAGGCAACTGTAGGGGCCGTTGCTCTCGAACATACTTCTGAAATCACCCCCGATCACGTAATCACGTCAAGGTGAGCACTGCGATAAAATGCCTATCCAGCCCTGCTGAGTGCGAAAGATAGTTATCTTCTCTCACCTTGTTCGATGAGCAACTGTCGTAGCTCTGCCGCACAAAGGTTAGGATTCTCTTCGTAAGTGACCATCAACTGCTTTTCTATCGACTGTAACGAGATCTTACTGCGAGGATTGCCGCCAATCTTAAACAACACGTTGATTTGAAGTACCGTAATGACTACGCTACCGTAACAAGCAGCAACATTTCTCAGGCAGACAGCTGCCGCTAAGCATTGCGAGCGCAGCGGGCGGCTCTTTGTGTCATACACAGAGCAGGCAGGCGACAAACACAGCATCGCCACGCTACCAAATTCGAATTTTCACTGGTGGAAACACTGAAAGATTCACCTGTCCCGGTGATATTGATCCCGTTTCCGCGTACCGATTGAGGATCTTGGACACGGCTCCGTGGGACACTCGAAGTTGGCGACTGATATGACAAGGCCTTAAAAGAGGCTAATATGGGTGATCACACAAATAATTGCAACAAGTCTGATGGGATTCTCGCCACGAATACTTCAAGGTCTGTTCTGACTGCCAGTTTCTATCAAATATCACATTTTTCTCACGAAAGAAAGCCAAAGAGTGAACAATTTAAATGCTTCAACAACAGCGATCTATCGATGGAAGTACGCCATTAAACGTGGTAGCAAGTAGTGGTTGAAGCTGATATATTTGAACACCTTTGCACAAAAAGACTGGTAAATCAGTGGAAAGCATGCAGTAAGTTAACTCGTCGCAGTGACGGAAACAAATTCGATTTAGATGCACAATCAAATGATTTAAGATGTAGGGCTAATACCTGAGGGGGATTTGAAGCTCTAATGAGTTCTGCTTTTACTTTCGGTAATGTTGGAGTTGTAGTACCATTGTGTGGTCCTCGTATTATCTTTACGTAAGAGCGTTTCCAAGCCTTCAGATGCTAATATTAGGGTCTTTTCCAAAAAAGGTGATTATAGCTTAAAAGCATGGGTTTGATCAAGCTCTGATAGGTTAGTTTCCATCGTAACTGTATGCTGCCCACATCGATATACTCGGTTTAAACTGATGTCTAATGGAACGCGTCAAGAGGAAATTTGGACAACATCTGAATGACCAGCTGGGTACTAGTAACTTCCTGAGTGCTGAATCCATGCCCCAGTTTGAATAGCGTGTTTTAAAGGAAGTAAACAATATATCAACCGGGTGGTCGACCATTTTTGGAAAAAAACGGCGACATGCCGAAGTCGGACAGTGCGATTTTAACAGATTTTGCCTATTAGATTGATCATTAGCATAACCGAGACAGAACAGAAACTCTGCTGTACTGATATCCAACACTGACTGCCTAAACCTAAACTATCATGAATCCTTCGAATTTCAATCAGAAAACTCAAAAGAGGAGAAGTGAACTGAACCAGTTGATCTATACTTTTATAGAAACTATAAAAAAGTTACACAAGGGGGAAGCAGTATGCAGGAGACTGAAATCGGTTGGATCGCTTACTTGACTCCTTTTGATGCCATTTCAATGATCTGAACCCGTACAGCTTGTGGCAAGGGGCGGCCATTGATGAATACTCCACCGAGTTGATTAACACGTCCCTAAAAGAGAAGTGTTACTTCTGATATTGACGAATTCTTTCTGGGTTATTGTTAGCCATTCCCCAATGAACGTGAGGGAGGGAATGGAGTTGGTCAATGAGGGATTCCCATAAAGCTCTCCCTATAGTTGAGAGACCGGAGAGAGTTGAGTCCAATCTCTTGAATTTCAGCTTTTTTCAGGTTACTTTTTCAGGTTCTATTCAGGGGATCTGTCGGATTACACCGCTGATGAGTTGAATTGTGGCTCCTTAATAGTTTGGGAGATTATTTTCAATCAAGTATTGGGCTTTGACAATATTATTGACGAGTTATTCGATATGTATCCTCACTGCTCCGAAACGCAGGATTACTCAAGTGAAGCGCTTGACCAAAAGAAAACTGGCTACCTGTCCAAGAATATGATTGAAGGTGATCGCCTCCGTAGTCATGGTAGGAAGGTTGCTGTGACGACGACGGTTGTGAGTACCAGAAAGGAATGTTCCGCGTGCACACCCTGACTCCGCCCACCCGGCTGGGTTACGGTAGTTTCACCGCCAATTACGATGAAAGGAAAGCCGAAATGCTTGTGCTTGTCACCGCGATTCTAGAACACTGGTCAATCGTCATCCATTCAAAATGAATAAGTGAAATAAATAAGCCATCTAAAAATTGGATTGGCTACAACCAGTAGTAAGTACTAGTTTACGGGAAGCCTCAGACCGGAGTAGGTTTAGCAGTAATTTCTATCCGAGACAGTTTAGATTTCCTATGCCCTCTTACAATGCCCAGTAGACGGCCCTCACAGCGCATAAGCATTGCCATCCTCTCGTGAGCAAGCAGTACCTCACTTTGGCAGTGATAGAAATCTAGCTATGGGAATTATCTACCGGAAATTGGACTACACTGATCAGCTTTCTACCGGCTTCCGAGGAATTTGATGGATGAGAAATCTCAAAGTTCAAGCAGCGGGCCATTTTCACTGTGCACAAGACAGGAAGTTCCAGGGCTAATCAACGTTAAACAATCAATACATTCGTTTATCGTTACAACTGGTTCCCTCAATAGGATGTTTTCTATAATTGGCTGATCACCAGCAAAATGGCATATAATCTGGAATGAAGTCTAATCTGGTCCTGACTTCCTCAACGATCCTGAGGTGTGGCCTGGACGCGAGACCGTAGGCCAGCAAAGGCGACCCATAAGGTGAACATCAGGTGGCCGTCCTCGCAATGCATTAGCCAAATTCCTCATTATGTTGTGCACTGTATAATGCCTTTCACTGACAACTCTCATGTAATCCATCATTTATCGAGCATCCATTTTCACTCGAATCATCTAACAATTAAATTTGACTTGATATTTTGTTAACTGCTGTTATTTCGATTTATGGACAAAACTTCAGTCTAGATAGAGCGCCGTGCCCGAAAAGCACAAGTCCGGGTACGAGTCCCGTCCAAAACTGGAGTTTTGTCCATGAATCGCCAACCTTGTGAAACTTACAATTAGCCTTCTCGTCCAACAATGATTTCTATTGCAAATAGACAGCATTGCTGAGAACTACGTGTCTGTCGTTTCGCTCCTTTGCATTGACACTGAGTAAGCCAACAATACTCAGTTCATAGGAATCGATACAACTTTGTACAAAAGGCAAACGAGTACAGGCTGTCAGCTGTCACTGTCACACCATAAAATGCATCAGTGTTTGTGGACATCTTATTTGTTACATATGCAACATCGTGTTTATTTAAACGGGGAGTTCTTTTTGAACCTATGTATGTTCCAGGATTATTTCACGAATCGTTAGAAAGGTATTCAACCGGGGTGTAGAAAGCCATGTTTTGTTTAAGAATAGCCATAGTTTGGGTTGACTTTCAGGGTTGCGAAAAAGGAGATGAAGTCAACGAAAAATAGTGAACCACTAACTACTTCAATCTCTACTTTGCATGACGAAAATTCCAGAGAGTATTGCAAAAAATTGGCCAGTGATTTATTGTTTGCTAAGAAAAGACCTTTCTAAACGAATGAGAAGGTTATTCATTGAATCACTGCTCCTATTCCAACTTTTCTTTCTTGCTCATCGCAAGGCCGCTGAGCTGGACATCTCCCAGTCAGACCTTTCTTTCCTACATCACACAAATGAAACGAGCGACTCTCGCCGCGTTACTGATGGCAAAGACTACAGGGTTACAGCAGTGTCCCTTTCCAACAGCTTTGCACACAACATATCGCAAGCCCAAAGTCGGTCACAAATGAAAACCGAAGTGAAAGCCAGCTGTTCACTTGTATTTTGTAAAAAGAAAGGATTCAAAGAAATCATGAAGTTTTTATGTCGACTCACCAAAGCTGGAACGAAAAATTTCATTCGGAAGAAGAAGAAGAAGGAAAAACCCTTCTGGCAGCATAAGTCATCCTCTCTGCGAAGACCTCGTGCTTATGTAGATACTTAACATACCAGCGATCTTTTGTCCAAAGGGCTACACTTTCACTGTTGATAACTTCAAAGCTTGTTCGCAATATCGAAGACCTTTTCCGGAGTCAACACAAAGCACTACTCACAACAGAGCTTCCAGTCTACTAGGCAATGAGCATGTGCACGCTCTGCCTATTTATTTTCTTTTTCGGATCAATCTCCCCAGAACTGGAATAATGGCGAGCATGATGGTGACTAGGTTGGCCTTTTTTCCAACACTCGTGTTAACATTAGTTTAATTTAGGACTCCAAAGCAATACTGAAATGAACAGTGCAGATGTATGTCCGTACATGACGGAGTGACGATCTTTTGCCGTAAGCTAAGCTACAACTCAAAACCCCATAGTCTGATGTTCCTATCATAAAAGTAAGGGGGACAGCAGTAAGTCTCGCTCGCTACTGGCCGTCACCTGTGACAGCAGCGGATTCTTGTTGGCATGGGGGTGGAACACTGATGGGCCAATCCTCGACTTGTGACTTTTGGATACGTCGTCACATTTGCTGACTGCACGCGTATCGGATGTGTGCAGATCATCTCGAAATATGTTCAGGCCTCGAATGAGATGAATGCGTTGACACACTAGGCTACTGAACTAAAAACAGTTCCACTTAAAAACCTCGCAGACAGAAGAATATAACAAACTTAAACATCTACGCCGAGGTAAAAACAAGAGGATATGAAGCCAGGTGGAACTGTTTGAAAGCACAGTTCACGATAGGAAAGGTTTCTGAAATCCTTTCCAGGTGAGGCTGTAACCCCCGAGGACAGCCCAAGAGAGGCTGACTGGTCGAAAAAGTTTATCTGCACGGGGCGTAATAAGGACCCACACGCTGCACGCAGCCAGCTTGCGGCAATGCCACATCGCACATGAGCACCTCCTCCAAACAACCCTTCAATGCATGCTTTATCGTCACATTCTTGTTCAACCTCTATTTTTTAAGGCCTTCTATTTCTCTAAATATGTCGATTTCTGTTTTCTTCGCCACCTTCACACTACTCTGGGCAATCTTTTCTGTTATCCATCTGAAACAAGTCACCTTCAAAGTGACGTGAACTGTGCCTTTAAACAAACTACTGAACTAGTAGTGATGCTTGTTTCCCTTTCAGAATAATACCTCTTGCTCACTGAAGCCTTAATATTTAGAACCAGAAAAAAGGCGAGGTCAGTGTGGGTGCTAAGGCAAAGGAAGAGTGCACTTCAGCTAATTTGCTCTCAGGGAAGGGAGAGGAAAGAGTCAAATATTATTACCTAGAGTCGATACAATACGATCGCCACGACTTAATGATTTCTTACTTCCCCTAATCTTCCTAGGGGTCACACACAACCTCCCAGCTGATGATTACTCATTCCAATGCCACTTTTATCGACACCGGCTTTTCCACTGGTTAACATATCTGTGAAATCAGTGTAGTATGAATAAAAGTATAACGATTCCAGAAGTGACCATTATCGCCTTTCGATGAATCTTGGCATGATACGAGTCCCGGTGTAACGGTTTTGGTAAAGCATCATCCAAGATGATATGACTCTTCATTCGGCCAACGTTTCGGCGTTGTCACCTTCGTCAGGACCCGGAAGCCAAAAAAATGTTTGAGATTCGTCCATATCAAGCACCATTTCAGACTTCAGCTTAATTCAAATATCCCTCAGAAAGGGTCTCATAGGTTACAACCTTGAACCCACCTTGCAAATAGCGAAGATGACCTGTGGACCATCTTTCAAACTGCCTATTTAGATGTTTTCGCAAGGGGTAGGCTCCGCAGGACCTGACCATCGACTTGAAGTTGTTGGCGATTGTAGCCCACACAGGTAGATGAAAAAGTCAAGCAAAACAAAAGTATTACGCTCCCCCTTGTCTGACTGTAGGCTTCTTTCAGTGAAGTATCTCTATGTGAGTGGTGGCAAGACTGTCGCGCGATCCCAAGTAATGGGTATGGGTAGGGAATAGGAAAGAGTGCAAATTGAAAACCCAAAGGGACTGGATTTAGTCCAGATGCGCGAGTGAATTGATGAAATTATTCCTTCTCCAGCCTTGCTGGGTGCATTTATACCTTCTCTTTCCTCGCTCGTCTATCTACGAATGTGTGGAAAGTTTGCGGATGCTTTTAGTGAGTTGCTTATGAGTTCAGTCAGATGCTTTGACAGACTGACTAGGGAATTAGTAGAGTGTAAAAAATTGGAATAAATGGAACTGGAACAAACAATGAAACTGTAACAAAGTGATAAATTATTAGAATGAAGTACTAGATACCTCGTTCCACCTCTTCATCGGACGAACAATCAGTTCCCCCTCCCCTAAGGCTCATCAGTGATTTGGAGTTAGGGGACGAGAGAATGGGCAAAATCCATTTATTATNCAAAAAAACAAGTTATGTTGCGCTATTTGGGTTGATGCCGCCTTTTACATGAAAAGGGACGATGGACCTGGGGAGCCCAAACCTCCAAATGCATACGGAAACAAGTCTCGCAAGGTTGGCGATTTATGTGCAAAACTTCAGTCTCGAACGGGTCTCGAACCGTACCTGCGCTTTTCGGGTAACCCTTACACTACCGAGACCCCGTTTCCCCTCGCCTTCTTAACGGCTTATATGCCGTAGCTTATCAGCACTCACACGTAAAACGTGTTGAGCCGGTAAGCCAATGTCCGCACAGGGCCGTTAGGCTGTGTGCTTTACATGATAGATCTCGTTTTGACTTGATGCTTCGTTAACTACTGTTATTTCGCCGCAGTGCATGCTATTTTTCAGAAATGGATCATGTTTTCACTAATGAACGCTGGAGTCTACTGCATGCATCCGTGTTGCCCTCTTTTAACAACGGCTCGGACCATCGCCTAATGCGCGCAAGAATACGACTCAACTAGCGAATATTCAAACGCGACACGACAAGCCCGCACACTTCAGACTCCCTTTGTGATACAAAGTTACTCGGATCTGCCAATGAAGCTTACGATTGGCTTCTCTTAGGGGATCGCACA